CCCCAAAACCCCAAAACCCCAAAACCCCAAAACCCCTGAGGCCCTTACCAAAATTGCAATTATAATTTTAATTATTACACACTAACACTTTGGCTTCACACCCTTTTTCAGGTAAATTATTTTGATGGACAGATTACGAAGGGGAGATGGGGATAGACTAGCTTTGATGGGAGGTGGAGGGAGTTGTAAAGGTGTATATTATTGCTGGTAGGTCTAGACATCATCACTTGTTATGTAGAAGAAGAGAACTCCTCAAGACTTTAAAGATGAAATGGTAAATAAATTCAAATTATAATACAAATCAGGTGTGCATATCTTATCTAATATAAACATATATTATACTAGGTCGAGAAGGATATGAGTATTCTTATAAGTCTTCATATCAAAACTGTTTCCTTCTACCAATCTACATAAAGGAGATATCAAGCGACTAAATTTCTAAACTTTTGAATTAGATCCCTCTCTGTTATCTCCCAAGAAAAACTATTATATTTTTGTTCTTAATAATTTTTCTACACCAAGGGATGGCCGAACACCAAGCCAATGTAATCGATGTTCTTTATGCAAAGACAGGTGTCCTCAAGGAGTACTTACAAGCTAGTTTTCAGGCCAAGAATTTCATCTAAAAAATATCATAAATAATTAATTAAAAGGTGTGTTACTCTTGGTTCATCACACCTTGAATTGTTGTGCTCAGAAATTATTATTTCGAATTTCTTCTTTTCGAAGATTTAGTCTTCAGCATATTTATGACATTATAGACACTCCTTATGTGGTTAAAATAGATTAATACATTGCTCTGGAGGTTGATAGTTTTATGCTTTAGTAAGTTTGTTCTAAAAAATTAAACTGGGGCCCCTATTCAAATTATTTAGAACCTTGATCTGATCTAAATTTATCCAATTGATTCACAAATTTGTCAAGAATCAAGGTTTATATTTGTTGGAGATTCTGGATGACAAATTTTAATGCTTGAATCTTAAGTAAAGGTGACCTAATCTCAGTGAAGGTTTAAAATTAAATTTAGGAAACTAATCAGCGAGAAATAATGCAGAAATTGACTTATTCTTAACGATCTAAATATCCTTAGAGAACCTGAGAATGAGTAAAATATATCTTATAGTGTTAAAAACTATCCAGTGCTCTGTTATATTCGCAAAGATACAAGATCGAACTAACGAATAAAGGAGTAAAGTCTCAGATGCTACTGATCCGGACTCTTTGTATATCCTACAACCTATGAATAAGCAAAATGGGGGATGTCTTTAACTAAATTTATTCCATCTTTCTTTAATATCGTTTTTATGTTGATTGAGAGTAGACTAAGAGGCAGAATTAGTAAAAATTAGATTTTGTTGAAATATTGATATTTCTTAAACTGTTTTACAGGGATCCAATTAAATCATAGTTTTCACTACTTAAAAATACCCCAAATAACCTAATTACTGTAACCTATGATAATGATAATCAGAACTCCTTGCCGTTACTCACTTGCCATCTCAAGGAGTTTCACATGTGGAATTATAATGTAGATGACAAAGTATCTCTGAGGTGATTTAAACACTCATTGCTTTAAATAGTAAATAAGCTTAAGGAAAGACCACCAGGTGTCGACTTTTGAGTCCAAAATAATTGATCAAATAAAGAGCATTCAGACATTTTGTATACTTTGCAGATGTTCTGAGAGCAATAGCCTCATTATAGCACAGCCATGAAATGATTTAGGTTTCAAAATTATTTATGTCAGAAATTGTCAAAGTCTTTTTGTAATTTTTCTGTTAGCACCTAGATTTTTGGTTAAAATTAGAATTAATTAAATCTAATTCCTGATGTTTTAGGATCGATAGTAAAACCATGCTAAGCATGCTTTAGTACAGGAATTAGTCACAAGGAGAACCAATTATTTAAGTTTTGAAGAAAAGTTAATGAGTTTATTTTAGATTTGAAATTTTAGTCCAGCCAAAAGTTACCTTGAGTTTCTCTTTCATCTCGGTTTTATGGTTAGAACCTAGAGTGTATATTTTCTCCTTAAATGCTAGATCTACATGACGAGAGATTTCTAATAAACTGCCTTTCAAAATTGTGTAATCCTTCACTTTTTCTGAACAAGAACGGTCTTTTACAGGAGTGTTATCTTTCGATTTAGACCCCCTTTGGTTGTTCCTTTGTGTTTTAATTCCTAGAATGAGTCTGATACTCTATACCTTACCTTTATTTTTGTTAGTGGCTCTAAATGATCAATTAAAACTCTTACAGATGACTTTCTTTCTCAGTTGTGTTCCAATCATCTTCCTTAGGAATCTGCAACTTGTGGGTTTTAGCCATTCTTGGAGTGGAGTTAGACCTAACTAGCTCCAAGTCTTTTGAGAGTCCACTTTTCTTTGAAGTATTTTCGCTTTCTTCAACACATTTGTTCATGGATAAATTCCTAAATCCTCCAGAGAAATTTAGCTTTTGATAGTCTTTAGCTTCTACACTCATCCTGTGGTAATTTCTTATCATTCCAGTGTTGAAAGAGATCAGTTGCTTAAAATTAGAAGGATTCTTGATAGTTGATCGATAAAATTTCCCAGGGATTGATCTACGCTGGAAAGCTTGAGAGAGTTCTTCAAGGTTCACAGAAATGTCCCTCTCATTTTCATCCTCAGTAGCCTATAGATTACCAAGAAAATCTCACTGTTTCATCAACTATCTTCACGAAGCTATAAATTCTTGATCTTCTCTCTGACTGTTCAATATTCTCTTCTCCAGATTTGAGATGATCGTCTAGTAGAGAAATAAATTCCTCGATAATTTTCCTTCGATCTTCCTTATTCTGCTCTAGCTCCTCAAATTCTTCAGAATATTCGAGTTCCTCAATGTAACCATTGATGTCCTGAACTTTCATCAAAGCATTCAGAATTTCAGAGTCTTGCAATAATTTCCTGACTTTCCATCCTTTATATAAGGCTAGGATCAACTCTTTGCTGCGGGATATTTTCTTCCTGAACAGAGAGTTCCTCACAAATCTTTGGATCATAATTATGGAGTCAACTCAGTTTTGAAATTGAGTCATTAAAGACATTTTGGCCATGAAAGAAAGTTTTTTAGAGTATATAGATCCTCTCATACTGATTGACTCTCTTTGAGACTCAGTAACACTATAATCTATATCTGAATTGTCATAATTATCTATATTGTGAGGCATAATTTGTACTTTTGTCAATGGCACCGATGTCAAATATCCCATCATTTCCTTCGGACCCGATATCAAATCCCTCCTCGTTGATCTCAAGACCTTCTAGCTCTTTGTCAAGTTGTTCAGGTTCCCCAAAATCTTGCTCAATCTAGTATTTGTCACAGCCTAGCTTACATTAAAGATGTTCTGTTTGGACCAATACTCATTTTTCCGTTTATCCTTTGGAGAGTGGTCACTACTCAGGTCAGTATCGAGGAATTGTTTTGGCCTCTTCCAACTGTAATGACCTGGAGGAGGAAGAGGCTTCTTATCAGGATTGTAAGAGTTATACTCCTCTCCAGCCTCACTCTCAACTACCTTGACCTTAGAAGGGACTGTCTTATAGTTGTTTCAATCATTTTCTAGAAATTATCAGTTAAGTTGGATAAGACCTTACTTCTCCTTGTCTTAGTTTGCAACTTGCGCTTCTGCTCTATTCAAGCATACCCAATATTCTTTTTCCTCTTCTTTCTTTTATTTTTACTAAAGAGTCATCTCTTCGTGTTGTAATTATCCCTTTCTGTTTTAGGAGTTTGCATTGAAGTTTCGCTAGACTGGATTCAACTTCCTTGGTGTGAGTTCATTGCCTATTCCAGAAAATTTATTTTTGTTCAATTAAATTCACAGAATGTTGCCTTAAGGTTACTAACGAGGGGTGTTAGAGGCATTTGGAACAAATATCAACCTACAGTCTTATTATTTCCATTATATTTCTCAGCATATCCTTCATTCATCTGGTTCCTATAAGGTTGCTGTTAATTTCGTGCAATTTTCTGAACAGGATCTCTAAACCCTCTCACAAATCTTAGCTTGAACTTACTTCTGGTAGGATTCCTTTTGGCTAGGATCTTTCTCTGTATTGTAGGTGAACAGATTATTCCTTGTTTTCTTCTTAGACTTCTTGGCGAGCATACTTAATTTCTTGTACTCCATTTTATAAATTTTATATAACTTATTTACTATATTTTATTTTACGCTTCAAAAAAGTTAGTGAAAATAGGGGTTTTGGGGTTTTGGGGTTTTGGGGTTTTGGGG